CCACCAAAACCATGATCGTTTCCTAAACCTAACCACCAAAACCATGATCGTTTCCTAAACCTAACCACCAAAACCATGATCGTTTCCTAAACCTAACCACCAAAACCATGATCCTTTCTTAAACCTAACCACCAAAACCATGATCCTTTCTTAAACCTAACCACCAAAACCATGATTATTTCCTAAACCTAACCACCAAAACCATGATCATTTCCTAAACCTAACCACCAAAACCATGATCATTTCCTAAACCTAACCACCAAAACCATGATCATTTCCTAAACCTAACCACCAAAACCATGATCCTTTCCTAAACCTAACCACCAAAACCATGATTATTTCCTAAACCTAACCACCAAAACCATGATCATTTCCTAAACCTAACCACCAAAACCATGATCATTTCCTAAACCTAACCACCAAAACCATGATCCTTTCCTAAACCTAACCACCAAAACCATGATCATTTCCTAAACCTAACCACCAAAACCATGATCCTTTCCTAAACTAAACTACCAAAACCATGATCATTTCCTAAACTAAACTACCAAAACCATGATCTTTTCGTAAACCCAACCAAGTAACTAAACAAACTGCTACCATTTCACATCTTAAAAAGGCATTTCATACGGACGCTGAAGGGTACCTCATGCATCAAATACAAAGCATCTGCATTTGACGTCCCGGGAAGAGAACGTATATGTCAGTATCATATATTAGAAACTCTGCAATACAGTTTAACAGTACCACAAACTACAGCCTCTAAAATTACCATAAAATTGAATAAAAAACTCTTTCAAACAGTTTCAACAACAATTGAACATCATGAAGGAGGATTTGTTGCTGCATTTCTTTTAGCTAATGACTATTGTTATGTTTACCTTCAGTAGCTACTCGTGGATTGAACACTAGACTGAAAGCCAACACCCTATGTTACGTTAAACTATTAACTAGTAGCACCATGGAGACTTTTGGTCCAACTAAATGAGGAGAACATAAAGGAGAGCACGATTATGATGTTTTTGTATGTAACTTTCCTGTGCGTCAGTAAAAATAAGCCATGCTGTATTTGCTGTATTTCTTAGCTTAGTGAAAATTGATAAATACATATGAATTTATCTTATCTGAACAAATAGGTTTGTGACTTAGTAGTGCTAAGGTGCTACAACAGTGACATCAAGTGGTATATCTATTAATGTGAAAGGTGTACATTTTCTACATGTATTTAAGTTAAACTAACTGAAAAACCTTATTTGCGCTGCAACCTCATGTTGAAAAAGTTGTGTGCTCTATTGTTTGTGCAGTCAGTACACAATGATGAAGACTGCTGCCAGTAAACTGGCATCATGTGCACGGCTGAATTGGAAATGTGTGATTCGCGTCTGTCATTGTTGAAGGGAGAGGAGAAGGAGAGGGAGGAAAAAATGTTCATGGGCTCATTCTTGCAGGATTAGAGGTAAAAATGCGGCCCTTATGCAGCCGGTCTGAGCTCTGAAACCAAACGAGGGGAAATCCATTGAACTTCCAGATTCTTCCAGTCTTTTTCTTGCTAAAGGCTTCAGGGTCAACCAAGCTGTCTCTATGTTTCCAAATGTCCCTTTATATCCCGGCTTTGTTGTAAGTCTGACCGCTGAGGCCACAATACTGCAGATTTGTGCCTGTTTCGTGTTGATTTTTAAAATGTATTTGTTGTCCTTTATGTAGATGCAGAGCAGAGGCAACATGCCTGTGGCCCGCAGAAAAGTGAGGATGCTCTGTGTGATGATGATGCTCAACATCTTCGTCTGCGTTCTGATGGGCGTGTCGTGGAATCTCCGGCATAACAAAAGTGACAGCCAGAAGATTAAAATCCCATCCAAGAGATTTTGGCACCAACATGAACTGAGCAAAACTTTCTGGAACAAGGAGCAGCAGCGCTTGGACCTCCTTCATAACCCCATTGTCAACTCTTTCATCTCCAGCGACTCTCTCGTTGAGCTGCCGGATTGGTTGAATGACACCGGGCCCCTCAACCCCTGTGAACCAGACTACAGAGTCCCCACACAAATCTTGGACTACAACTCCCTGCCGCAGCGCTTCCAGGATTTTCTTTTGTACATGCGCTGCAGGACATACCCCATGCTCATAAATCAACTCCATATCTGTGATGAGAAACCCTTCCTGCTGCTGGCGGTCAAGTCACTCATCCCGCATTTTGACCGGCGGCAGGCCATTCGTGAAACGTGGGGACGGGCGGGCGTCATAGCCAATCAGACTGTGGTTACAGTGTTCTTGCTTGGCAACACCTTGGCGGTGGACCACTTCCCAGACCTTGTGGGGATGCTGGGCCACGAGGCGGCGCTTCACAAAGACCTCCTCCAATGGGACTACAGGGACACCTTCTTCAACCTCACCCTGAAGGAGGTCCTCTTCCTGGAGTGGTTCAGCCAAAACTGTCCCCACGCTAAGTACATCCTCAAGGGTGATGATGATGTCTTCGTCAACACCTTACGAGTAATTGACCACCTGGAAGGCCTATCAGAAGTCAAGGCCAAAGATTTGTTCATAGGTGACGTTATCAGTAACGCATATCCACACAGAGACCGGAAACTCAAGTACTTTATCCCAGAGAGTGTGTTTGAAGGGCAGTACCCGCCTTACGCAGGAGGCGGAGGGTATCTGTTCTCTGGGGAGTTGGCACTACGCCTCTACAATATATCTCAGCAAGTAGTCTTTTATCCCATTGACGATGTTTATACGGGGATGTGTCTGAAAAAGCTGGGCCTGGTTCCTGAGGTGCACAGTGGCTTCAAGACTTTTGACATTGAGGAGAAGAACAGGTACAACCCCTGCATCCACAGGGGCTTGATGCTGGTTCACAGCAGGACGCCACAGGAGATGTTGACGATCTGGCCGTGGATTACACACCCTGAGCTGGACTGCCAGTGAACACCTTCACTCATCTTTGTTCAATGTTTGCTTGCAAGTTTGACTGTAAATCCTCAAGTCCGAACCTCAGAACCTCTGTGTTAGTAAAGTCATCAAAATTTTTGAGTCAACTTTATTTGTTGTTTTCTTTTCCACAAGCTGTGTTATAAAGTCATTATTGAGCCATGGTCTCTTTTCTGTTGTTTGTTAATATCGGGGGTTTTTTTGTTTTCGTAGAAAAATTTAAAATATCTTAAATCCTGAATGCTTAACAGTTTGATTTTACCTCGGTTCAAAATTGGTTTTGTAACAACAATTCATTCATATATTTCATATCCCTTAATATAATGGATTTTGATGAAGGATCACCCCTTGAGGAAGTAGATCCGTTCAAATATCTAGGACTCTGTATTGACACTTATTGATTATGCTGAAATTGTCTATCGCAACACGTCTTGACATTTTCTCTATAGGGACAAAAGTACTGGGACCCCTACACATTACTTATAAGACATCTCACTGTAAGTCACTAATGTTGGACGAGAGGGTCTGGCTCGCAATCTCCGTTCTAGTTCATCCCAAAGGTGTGCGAGAGGGTTGAGGTCAGGGCTCTGTGCGGACCAGTGAAGTTCTTCCACACCAAACTGGAAAAACCATTTCTTTATGGAGCTGGCTTTGTGCACGTGGGCGTTGTTTACATTGAAACAGGAAAAGACCAAACACAAACTGTTGGAAGAACTGTTATCTAGAATTAAAGACCACACCATGAAAACAGCTCCCTCTCAAAAGTACTGGAACAGGGGTGTCCCATTACTTCCACAGTGGATCTTAGGCCTTAATGTTTTCTCTGTAGATTTGTTTTGGGTCCATATAGAACTCAAATTTGTTTCAAGGGTTCAGTTCATCTTCAAATGTTAATTTAATTTAATCGTCCTTCCTATTTGAAACAGTTTTTGGTTTTACATAGATCTTCATATCCACTCGGACATATCCGACATTCCTTAATTCCCAGAACTTTCAAAGTGAAAGTCAGACGCAGGTCGTTCCAGCTCCATCCAACTGGAATAATCTTTTTAGAGATCTGCTACCTACCATTCCTCTGCTTCAGGAGATCTTTATGTTCCCTTTTAATTTTCACTTTATATTAAAGACAAACCGCTTCAAATACTTAATATCCAGCGGGAGGAAGCTTCAGCATAGCAATTATATTTTTCTACAGTAAAATGACTACTGTGGTTCCTAAATCTGCAGCATTGCTTTCGCGTCCATGAGCCAAAAGCACACAAACCAAGGGGATACCCTCTGATCTTTAAGTTACAGAACAAAATGCCTTACTGACGACACACATTTCCACAAACCCTTTTAACTAAAATTTTTACATTTGTACAGTAGTTCCAAAACGTGTTAATTGTTTTTAACGTCCCAGCTGGGATGTTGCTGCTGTTACCGGGCATTCAACCTGTGTATATACGTATATTTGTATAATTGTTTGTGAGCGATAAAATGAGTTCACATGCAAAAACAGATTTTCAAGGGCAAACTTTTGAGTAAGGCTGAGTCATGTCCTCTTTTCTGTCATTTGTTAATATTGTTTTGGTTATTACAAGTCTTTCTCATTAGTAAAGCTAAAAAAAATCTCTTGTGTTTGTTTCTTGTATTTATTTTTGTCTTTTATAGATAAAGTTCTGATCTACATTAAATTGATTTGACTCTATTTTTGATTATTTTGTACAGTACAAATGAAAAGTAAGCAAATGCTTTACAATATTTTTCTCTTAATGTAAAACACCTTTAGTTTCATTTATATGGTTATAGACCTTTTTTTTGTCTTATTTTAGGCTATAACAACTGACAATTTCTTCTTTCTGTAAAGGAATGAATGCGGAAATAGTTAGCCAGTACATCTACATCATTTCTAAGTGTAAAAATAAAGAGTAAACTTGAGCTTTAAGCTGAGGAGAAGAATGAGAAGACTGACTGTAAGATACAACGGGGCCCTCTGGTGGACATATCTCATACCAACATCCAGCAAAAGGAAACTCAATCAGCTACTTGATGAAGTTCACCTGCTCAGACAGGAAAGCAAAACAGCAGTTTAACTGAAGCTTTGAGGGCCAACTTATTTTTTTCACAAATGTAAGTCGTTTAACAGACAAAGCTTTGGTAGTAAAATGCAGCGAAAGAACAACTTTAAAAGTGTGCTGCTCATATTTCTGATGATATTTGGTATATTTTGGAAACACTGTGACTCACAGGTAAACTGCTGTCCTCTCTGTGAAAACAATTAGTTTTTTTACTTTAGAATTTGTGCATTATAATTCTGTGTGTTGCTTTCTTGTTGTTTGCAGGTGAACAGAGAAGAAGCCAACACGCTTCCAGGTGAGACTCAGCTGAAAGTGTGGGGCTTTTGGGGTTTTGAATGTGAATGTGTGGCTTTACTCTTCCTCTCTGTGCATTTTGAAAATCAACATTCAGCTTCAGGTTATGAGCAGACCTGTAAAGGTAAAGAAACAGACTCTGCAAAAACACGTCTCCACGGTGACAATGTTCGCAGAAACTGGTTAAACTTTTAGAAAAACATCAATGCAATCAGCTGAAAGGCCCCAAACCTTATCTCAGTGTTTACTAATCCACGCATGAAGTTTGGCATTAAAGTTGATCACGGTGATCTCTCCCTCCCCCTTGTCACCTGTTTTGAAAAATCTAAAAACCAATGGCCTGGTGAGAATGCAAATAAAGAAATGGAGGCAATTTATAGGCATTAATAAATATAACAGTATTTAAAATTTTTACTTGTAAGTAAAGCTCAATAAAACAAAAGCGTAACAGAGAAGTAAAGAACAGGAACATTGTTGAGCTTTGTGACACTTTTACAAGCATTGCTTCACCTTTTTTTCCTCGTTTCCCCACATGTCTTGATTTCATGTGAAGCTGTACTTTGACTTCTCCATTCACTCTGGTTTTCATTAAAAACTAGTGCCCTGTTCTTCATTTGGTCAGATGAGTAACATTACCCTGACTTGCAGTTCGCTTGCATGACATGTTCCTTCAACACCATGAACACACTCTGTAGTTTATTCTGACTCAATCCCACATTTACCGTCCTGCTGCCACAAATACTCACTACAGCACCACATGTGGATCCATCCACCTCCAAAATTTCCTCCTGTTTGGTTTATTTATTTAGGTCTTCAGTAGGACCCAATGGGCTTGAACTGAGAGCCACAGACAGAGTAAGGAAGTCAGATTCATGAAGTATTGAGAGCAACACACTGTTGGTTTTGTTATTTTCACGGGATTTGTTGACATTTAAAAAAAACATCCTTTTTAAAAAGTCTAATGAAGGCACTGTGTTTTGCATGGTATGAACTTCAAACTCAAAGAACAAACAATGAGCAAAAAACGGGGAGGAGAATGTGAATTTAGTCACTTCCTGCATGTAAAATGTTGCAGTTTTTAACTTTTATACTTGAAAATCTGAATAGTTTTTAAAACCATTCCCGTACCACAAACTCAAGTCTCTTCAAGTTGAGTTTCACGCTGCACTGAAATGAAAGCACTGACTACCTGGAGGGTTACAAATAAACCTAAACATTGGAGATGCTTTGGGAAATGGTTGGTAATTTAAAAAACGCCTCACATGTGTTTGAAGTGAACTGGAACATGTACTGCACTGTTGTTTACCTAAACCTGGTCTGTTTCTTCCTCAGATGATCAGGGGGGTGACAACGGCGCGTTCTTCGCCCTGCGGAGCTGCCACCAGCTGCTGCAGGGCGACAGCGGCGCCTTTTTCTCCCCCGACTACCTTTGCTCCAACCCACCTCTGTGGTGCAACTGGACAATCCAGGTGGATCCTAGAAAGAGGATCCATCTCCACCTGGAGGACATGACCCCAGATGACACCTGCCACCTCAAACAGGACCAGGTCCACGTGGATGAGCCCACTGGACGCTTTAGGGGTCACAAGGTCCTGCAGAAGTGCTGGCACGAGGCCAAGTACACCTCCTTCTCCAACACACTGCATGTGGTGCTGCTGATCGGCGGCTGGCCCAGCCCGCTCTACAGGGGCTTCTATGGCCGCTACCAAGCGTTTGGGCCGCCGGTGCTTTACAAACCACAGGAAGGATTCAAAGAGCAAAACAGGAAGTCAGAACCTCTTGGCCACATGGACTTAAATGAATTTGACCCCGTTCTGAATGGTGCTCCGTCACCTGCAAATTCTGATCTCATGTATGAGTATTATGATCAGCCTTCAGCCGTGATGCCTGAGCTGCCCTGGGAGCCAGAGGAGACCACAGACAGTGAGGTGGGTGGACACAAGGCAAAACCCTCAGCTCTCATGGTGTCTTGCTCCTTTTCATATACCTGACCTGATCATTAATAATCACCTCTACTGTTGCATGATGATAAATGCTGAAACATAGTGTAACAGTAGCACAAGAAGTGAGAAGTTATGGCAATAATACACCAACATGAAGTTTAAATGATCAATCATGAGCTACAGGTACCTGACCAAGTATTTCTAGGATCAGATTTGATGACTTTGTTTAATAAATCACATCATCCAGTGTAATCATACCTCTTTTTCCAGTATTTATCTGCATTTTGTTCTTCTGTTAGTAGCCCAGATAAGTAGTATGTACTTTGAAATTCTTCCATCTTCACTCAGGTGGGTGAAAACCATCATCCAGCCTTGGAGAACCACAACGACGCCTACCAGTTCACAGCCGTGCCAACAGTGCCAGCACCCACACAGGGGACCTCTCGATGGGAAAAACGTGCCGTTCAAACCCCTTCAGGCCAGTCAAACTCGACCGTCCATCCTGAGTATACACAACAGCAACATGGCACTGAAAACCAGGAGCTCCAGCCCACCAGGAGCACCCAGACTGCAGAACAAAGCAATGTTGAGGAAGCTTCAGTCCCAACAGAGGAAGCTGCTGTTCCAGAGGATGAAGGCAGCATACACAGCCTGTCGGAGGGGGAGAAGGCTGCCGATGGTTCAGAACAAGCTGCAGAGGGTGAGAACAGGACGGAGGTCAGCGAGGGCGAACGAGAGGGCGCTGAGCAGACCCATCCTCACCCCAATATGTTGGAGCCGCTGTCGGAACACAGAAGGAACCGTGAGTACACGAGTGTTTTTAGTAGGTTAACCTTTTCACATGAACCGCTGATACTTGGCCAGACGTGCTGTCGGATATTTAATTTAATAATTCTGCTTGTTGATGCAGGAAACTTTGGATCCAGTTCACACTGTGATCTCAAACACAGCCAAACTGGATATTTAACGTCTGCATGCTTTTTAAAATAGATGCAAAAATGTTAATTAGTTAAACTTCACAGGCAATATTTTTATTTATACAGTTTAAGGTTACAGAGACGGATTTCTGTAAATGTGCCAGTTTAGCCAGCTTGGCTAGTGTTCGACTGTAGTCCCTGGGCAGGTGTTATCACAACTACATAAAATACACTATCCATTTCACAAGAACACGGAAAATACTTTTTTAAAAAGAATTTATGAACAATTAAAAAAAAAAAAAAACATGAAACAAAACACTCTTCAGGTGTTTTTGAATAAGTCAGAGATGGCACACTTGATTGTCTTAACTATGGTTTTAAAATGATATACATTTTCAGTGTCACTGTAAATTTGCAAAACAAAAAGAGCTTTTTCTTAACTGTTCTTTCTAAAGACAATCTTAAATGATCCATTTACAAACTGCAACTAAATAAACGGACAACAAAATCAGTGTGTGTGTTGACAGCCCGTAGAGCCCCAGCTGTCCTGCCATACCTGATGTGATTTTGAATTCTTCCTCAGCAGAAACATTTATCTTAAATATGTTTGACTTTGTTTCTCTCTTGTAGTCAACGTTAGAAATCACTCTGAAATTCCACATCTTCCTGGCGGTGAGTGTTTGACTTAAAAATGTATAACTTCACAGGACGTAAAAATGTCTTTTCTATTTCTTTTCTGGGATGACATTTGTATTACACAACACATCAGACGCATTATATGCTGAACTGACTAAATCATTGGTATCCAAATGAGACACATGATGTTGGGATCAAATTTTAATATGAATGTATTTTATATTTTCACTTGATCAGATGTAAGACAGATTTATTTACATGGTGCCAAAATGCTGCTCAGACTGTAGTGTTGCTTTAGCATCATTGTACTGTTGATGCTTTATTTTGGTACTTCACGATTTTGGTCCCTGACAGATCCCCTGTTTGAAGTGGCTGTTGAAGTGAATCTGAGTGAGGATTTGAAAGAGTCCTGGGACAACCTGGTCAGGTCACTGCTGCTGTCAGTAAAATCTCTGGTATGTTCTTGACGACAGAGCAAACACATTAAGATATTAAGATTTATCAGAAAGAAACGACAGCGTCGGCGATACCTGAAGTGAAGTTGTGTCTCTGTAGATCAGCAAGCAGCTGGAGGCTCTGCACACACCGCTGTCCATGTCTTCTAAAAGAATAAAAAGGTTGGTGCGCAAGAGTTTCACAAAACTGCTGAAATACAAGCTGCAGTGGAAGTTTGAATATGTTTGGAATAGAGCGCGCACACAGTGATGAAATCAGTCTCCTAAAACAAATGAAAGTGAGGTTTTACAGATCTTGATGGGTCGTTCGCGTCCATGCTTTCCTTCATTTGCATCTTCCTCCCACTAAAGAGAGATGCAAGAAAAGTTTTTTTCTGAAATGAAACTCCCTTTTCTATCAGTTTCTAGCGTAAATGTTTAGGTAAAAATTGGAAATGATTCTAGAGCAGCTAGTGTGTGTGGGGGGGGGGGGACAATCTGAACTCGAGGGCCACTGACTGGCTTGTTCAGGACTGTCTGTCGACATGCTGTGATGCATCCTGGTTATATGTGTGCAGGCTGAGTGCTGGCGTGCTGTACATCCTCTGGTTGCAGATCGGACAGGGGCCTGGAGGTCCGCATGTCCACAGGGCCGTCCACTCCGAGTTGCAGGGCCTCATCTCCAGGGACATCAGCGTCAGAGGAAACGACAAGCACGCTGTCATCACCTCTGTGTCGACTGCAGGTACAGCGGGGCTCAAGCCTCCAGTACGAAACAGAGAGAAAATGTTACTGTGGAGCGTTTTAGTACTTAAATTAACACTGCCAACATTAATGTGTTCACGCACAGCGTGAAAGAAGTATTCAGTTCCTTTAATTAAGTAATCGTACTAATACTCCACTACAATTAAAAGTACTGCATTGAAAATCTTATTTAGGTGTTCCTGTCTGTGTTTCTGGATTAATATTCCCGCTGCAATAATGTGGATGTTGCATTTTACTGCTGTAGATGTTTAAGGTTGAGCTCATTTTAACTTTTATATTCTGTTGGGTAGTTTAATCTACAGCAATACATCATATTTTACAAGATCATAATGTGGATGTAGCATCACCATCCTGTGAGAACCGCATAAGCTCAGGAAAAATTTTCATCCAAGAGGGGCTTTAAATAGTTAATGAAGCTGAAGGAGGAGGATTTTCTCAGCCAATAAAGGAACACTTCATTCATCCTTTAGTTTAGCACAAACATCTGGAGATGCCTGGTTTGCACTGCCAAGAAAGGAGATGAAAAATTGTATTTTGGAAAATAGTAACTAAAGGGGTAAGATAAATGTAGCGCAATACAATATTTGCCTTCTGTAGTGGAGTAGAAATGGCAAAACCTCTTCAATAGTCAAGTTAAAGTACAAGTATTTCAAATTTTTACTTGGGTATTAAAGTACTTGAGTAAATGTGCTCATTCATTCCAAGTCTCATTGTGAAAGTCCACAAGACTGAATACAAAACGGCTTGAAAATACAATCATATTCTAGTTCTCCATATCTTTTCACATAGTCCCAAATCACAAATTTGTCTGAGAGGGCTTTACAATCTGAACACACGATACTCTCTAATCTTACACCAGTGATTTGAATAAGAAAAAAACTCAACATAAACTGTCAGGGGGGAAAATGGGAGATACCATCCCCCAAAACTGTGTAAAGGTGGACAAGAAATCCTTCAGAATCCATTGGCCTTGATCAGCTTTTGCGCTTTGAAAATGTGATCCAGTAATCAGATGAAGTGGAAACTAATGAACAGGCCACTGTAAAGGGTAAATAATGGAAACTTGCTGGAAACTGTGTGTCAGTGCTCTGCATCCACATGGTCTCTCACCCATAATGCCATGGTTATGTCCTCACATTAACTCTAGTCATGTGACCCCTGACCTTCTGTTATGTTAGTTGAAATAAAACCTTAAATAAAGAGCACAACATTTTTTTTAACTAAAATGATTTAAAATGGCATATTGTAGGACACATTTTTTGTTAATGTTACCTTTTTAAAACGTATTTCACATGTCTTTTTCATATTTTAATAGTTGTATGTACTCAAATATTCATGATTTTATTCCAGAACACCCAAAATAAACATTTCAAAAGAACATGTCCCTGAAACATCTACTGTACACATTAAAACAGAGATGGTAGTAAATTTGAAGAACAGGAAATAATTTTTTCCTCAAATTCCTTTAAATTTGTTGTAGTAGCCTACTAAGATATTCTGCAAACTAACACACAGAGGGAACTGAACCCCAATAGAGGAGATTAAAACATGATCTTCGTGTCTCTCGTCTCCCTTTGTGTGTATTTCAGATGTAAACGAGTGTCAGACACACCTGGTGCTGTGTGACCTTAACGCAGACTGTGTGAACCGGTTTGGTTCGTACTCGTGCCGCTGCAGGCCGGGCTTCCAGGACAAATCCCGCCAGGGATCAGGAGGAACTGTGTGTGTTGATGTGCACGCTGCAGGTATGCAGGTTAACAAACTCCCAGCCATACTGCTTTATTTAGACTAAACCAAATGCAAAGATCCAGAGGCGACCAACTGCTGACTTCCTGTTGTTTGCCTGCAGGTTGCAGCTCAGGCCTGTCTGCTGAGAGTAAAGGCGTCTACGTGCTTTTCTTCCTGCTCAGCTCCCTCATCCTGATGCTGCTGGCGGCGGCCGCCTTGCTGTACCACCGTCACCACCGGGGGGCCTTCTTGGTTCGCTGCCACAGCGACTGCAGCATGTCTCCTCCTGACCTCAACAACAACAACAACCACCATCACGATGACATCTACTCCACCCCAGCTGACTCTGACCTGCCCCCTCCACCCCCACCTGTCCGGGGCTTTAGGGAGGACTGGCCCCAGATTAAGGAGCGCCGCCCGGCCATGGACCTCCCGCTGCTGCGCTTCAGCCCGCTGCTGCCGCCGGACGGGTACAGGGAGCCACAGGAGGGCGGGAAGATGTGAACAGACGGTGGACTTTGGAGCTGTGGTGCTCCAGTCTCTTTTCATTTAGTTTGTTTTTGTCTTATACCGTTGTCCACTACTTGTAACCTGTTGAATTAAAGTTACAACACAACAGCATTTGTCTTTGTGTTGTTGCAGTTTTGTGCCTGAATCCATAAGGCCTCTAATAAATATCTTTTACACATTTTATTCAGGATTTTACATGATTCTGCCAAGTGATTCTCTGGCTCAAGGACTCTCCAGCGGGACACATGGCCTATTGTGGACCTGTGACCTCTCACTTTCAAACTGGCCACGCTGCATCGCTGTGTGCAGGGAGTGAAGTGTAGTCTGTGCTGGCCCACCTAGTCCAGACCCCTTTAATAGGCTTACAGGAGCTAATCCAGGGCGGTGTGCTGTCACATGTGGAGTCTGCTGACCTTACTCTGCTTTATTGCAGGGTGCTTGTTCCCCCTGTCTTTCCATCTATAGTTTCTATTGAACTGTAACACATTCAACTGGGGGGGGGGAATCCTGCTCTGTTTTTCCAAATTAATGACATAATTAGCTCAGAATGACGAGATAAATTAATCGAGATAATCCTGCGAGAAGCTCACCTGCATGGAGTATGCCACGTCTGCTGATGCTAATCAGCCTGACTTAACATCAGTGCTAGGCCTTTGATTTCTGCGGGTCGCAATAAAAAATAGGCTATTTAACTTCTGGTTAGACTTAATAAAAAGAATTAAACTAGTGTTTAACGCTGGGAAATTGGTCAGTTTGATTAGGTTTAGGCAACAAAACTCCTTGGTTTGGTTTAGGAGAGGATCGTGAGTTGAGTTAACAATTAGCCTACATTTGGTAAGTTGCGTAGCATAATTATCAAGAATTTGTTAAAAACTGACGCCAAGGGGCAGTGGTGGTCCGGGGCACCACTGCCAATTGGTGGCACCCCTGTCGAGGGGCATATGCATAAAATGCTATATATACTGTATAATAATCCTTATTTGTAGAGCACTTTTCAAAAACAAGTTACAAAGTGCTTTAACAAGTGTAAAGAATAATACAAAAAAAAAGATAAGAGCATGAAAATTTAATATAAAATTAGTAAAATACAATAAAATAAAAGGGATAAAATAAAGTCAAATAAGATCGGGAAAAGCTCTCCTATAAAAGTATGTTTTAAGAAGGGACTTAAAAGAGTTCACTGACTCAGCCGACCTGATTTCCTCGGGCAGGCTGTTCCAGAGCCTCGGGGCCCTGACAGCAAACGCTCTGTCCCCTTTAGTTTTCAGTCGAGACTCTGGAACAGACAACAGACCTCTGCCCGAGGATCTCAAGGTACGTGCTGGTGTGTATGGGACTAAAAGTTCAGAAATATAACAAGGCGAGAGACCATGAAGAGCTTTAAAAGTGATCAATAGAATTTTAAAGTCAATTCTAAAACATACTGGGAGCCAGTGTAATGAAGCTAAAATAGGAGTAATGTGGTCATATTTCTTTGTTCTGGTTAAAAGCCTGGCAGCTGAGTTCTGGACAGTCTGGAGTCGATCAATAGATTTTTGGGTTAAACAGGTGAAAAGGCTGTTGCAATAATCCAGGCGTGATGAGATGAAGGCGTGTAAAATGGTCTCGGTGTCCTTAAAAGTTAACATAGATCGAATTTTGCTATATTTCTAAGTTGATAAAAACATGATTGAACAAGCTTTGTGGTGTGCTGCTCGAAATTTAAATTACTATCAAACCAAACACCAAGGTTCTTTGCCACAGGCTTAATGTGATTTACTAGGGAACCAGCAGATGGCAGTATTTGATTTGCCATCTGCTGGGACCCGATGACCAGGATTTCTGTTTTGTCTGAGTTCAGCTGGAGGAAATTATTTGACATCCATTTTTTAACTTCACAAAGGCAGTTGTTAAGTGAACTCAGCATTCCAGGGTCTGTGGATCTGACGGGCAAGTATATTTGTGTGTCATCAGCATAAATATGAAAAGAAATGCCATGTTTATGGATAATATGTCCAAGGGGAAGCAGATACAAGGAAAACAAAATGGGTCCTAAGACCGACCCCTGAGGCACACCATATTTAACTGGACAGAATGAAGAGACATAGTTGTTTACAGACACGCAAAACTTCCTATTTGACAGGTAGGATGAAAACCATTCTAGAGCAGTACCAGAGATCCCCACCCAGTGCCTCAGTCTGTCTAACATGATGTTGTGATCAATGGTGTCAAAAGCAGCGCTAAGGTCCAGGAGTACAAGGACTGAGCACATACCTTCATCAGCAGACATTAAAAGGTCATTGGTGACTTTAAGCAGGGCAGTCTCAGTGCTGTGGTACTTCCTAAAACCAGACTGAAACTTTTCAAATATTTTGTTATTTTCCAGTACAGTGAGCAGCTGTTTGGACACAATTCTTTCTATAATCTTTGCAATAAAAGGCAGTTTTGAAATTGGTCTAAAATTTTGTGGGAGGGAGGGATCTAAACCAGGTTTCTTTAAAAGTGGGTTCACGCAAGCCGTTTTAAAATAATCAGGGACACAACCAGTAGATAGGGAGCTGTTGAAAACAGAGATCAAATGGGGCCCAACAGAATCTATTACTTTTAGTAAAAATTTTGTAGGTATTATATCAAGTGGGCTGGAGGACACTCTCATTTGTGATATTGTTTTTAAAAGCTCAGACAAGTCGGATAAAACTGGTTAAAACTCTGTTGTTGCTGGTGAGGAACCTCTGAGTAAGAGGCCGCGGGGGTAATAGAGGCTCTGATTGACACCACCTTATTGGTAAAATAAGATAAAAACAATTCACAGTCATCATTACTTCCAGCTGAGGCACAAGGAGGGGTTGGGTTTACCAGCTGATCCACAGTCTTAAACAGAAACCTGGGATTGTGTTTATGTGTAGTAATGAGTTCAGAAAAATAGTGTGTTCTCGCATCCTTAACCATGTTATTGTAGTTAATTAATAAATCCTTCAGACTGAGGTAATGGACTTGGAGACTGGATTTTTTCCATCTGCGCTCTGCTTTCCTGCATTCCCTTTTTAGGCTGCGAATGCTGTCATTTATCCAGGGTTGTTTACTAGCTTTAGACGTAGGCCTAACCTTTAGAGGAGCAGTAATATTTAGTGACGACAAGCAGATATGATTGAAGTGATCAACCAGATTGTTGGTGTTGGAATCAGACAGGTGTTGGCTTTGGCTCTGAAAGACTGCGCAAAACTTTGAAACACTTTGTTCATTAAAGATGCGACAACACACGGAGCTTGGTGAGGCGGCATGAGTAACAGGCGAATCGCAGCTAAAAACAATACATCTGTGGTCAGATATGGTCATGTCCACTAATTCCACAGAGGAAATGCTGACACCCAGGGTAAAAACCAAGTCCAGTGTATGACCACGGTTATGTGTTTGCCCTTTGACATGTTGTTTGAAGTTAAAAGAAGTGGCCATATTTAAAAAGTCAGTTGCATTAACATTGTTGGGGTCATCAACATGAATATTAAAATCACCACAAAGAACAATTCTGTCATAATTTAAAACCACAGTAGATAAAAATTCAGGAAGTTCTGATAAAAATCCTCCAGGCGGTTTTGGGGGGCGATAAATTATAACAAATATGATAGGTTGCAGCCCTCCAACTTTAAGAGTGAGAACTTCAAAGGAGCTAAATTCATCACAGCGTACTTGATGACATTTAAAATTTTTCCTATACACGCTCACTAGCCCACCACCACGACCACTGACCCTCGGTTGACTAAAGCAATCATATTGAGGCGGACACAGTTCAGCTAGCTGGCTATAGTCATTCATCTGCAACCAGGATTCAGTTAAAAACATAAAATCTAGATTTGCAGACAAGATAAAATCATTTAAGATAAAAGTCTTACTTGAAAGTGATCTCACATTGAAGAGAGCCATTTTAAATGAGTTTGTTCTGGGTGCTGGAGTTGGTGCAGTTGTCCTAATCCTTAAGAGATTACTAATATTTCTGTGTGGGATGTGCACATTTCGGTTTACTGGTCTATGCGTGATGATGACAGGAATAGAAGTCTGTGGAACAGCGCTGGGAGCAGACGGCTTTACATGCCAGCAGGTGGAGACAGTTGTTTGTGGCAGTGAGGCAGAGATCTGTTCAGTGAGCGGTGGTGTATCCTGGTGTGCTGCATGAATGATGAGTCATTCACGTAAGTCACGTGTGGACCGCACCACATGCTGTATGTGCGCAGCTAACATTTCTGAGCCCCGTTTGTTTGGGTGAAGTCCGTCTGTCTTAAAAAGAGACATTCTTTGCCAGAAAATATTAAAATTATCCACATAAAACACACGGTGAGCCCTGCAGGCGGACTGGAGCCAGTCGTGGAGGCCAAGGAGTCTACTGAAGCGGCTAGCACCGCGACCAACTGTGGGAATGGGACCAGAGATAAAAACGGACTTTCCGCACTGCTTTAAAAAGTTAAGAAGACGGTTAAAATCTAATTTTGTCAGCTCAGACTGCCGAAGAGCTGTGTCATTTGTTCCGACATGGACTATCACTCTTGTGATGGAGGACGGGAGCGACGGCATCAGGTCCTGGAGTCTTTTTAAAATGACAGCCGTGGTGGCACCGGGGAAGCAGCGAGTGGTAGCGTTAAAGAAACGGAGGTTTCTGGTTATGGAGTCACCAATTATTAGTGTGGTTGGGGAGAAAAGAGGACGAGGAGATGCTGGTTGTGGGGATCCAGAGCAGGACTGAGCAGAATCTGCTTCAACACTGCGTGCGGACTGAGGATGGAGTGTGTGAGCTGTTGAGTGTTGTGTTGGAGTAGCAGTAACAGACCTGAGAGAAGGGCTACCCGACGGTGCAGGGTACAGACGGCCTCCGGAGCGTCTGAGCACAGCCTCCTTCAGGATCCTACGTCGGGAAGCGGAGGTTTTTGACCGGGATGACGGCCGCCGATCAAGTCCGGCGGCAGACCGGCGGCCCAGTGCAGGAGATGTAGCCGGTGGCGGAGATGCAACAGTGTCGGCAGGCACTGTGCGCCGAAAGAGATCCGTATCAGGGAGACTCGAAGCCGCAGGTGCATCAGCTGGATGGACCGGAGTGTCGTTAGACAAGGCTGCATAGCGGTTGGAGAGGCCAATGTCCGGAG